AACAGTAAAGCTCGCAGAAATTAAGGCTCCACGTAATTAACGGCGCAGAAATTAAAGTTTACAAAATGAATTAACGTGAAATTCGGGTTAATTTCAATAAGCGTCAAGGTTTCTATAATAAGGTAGTCAGGGGGGCGTAGCTGGGATTTGTCAAAGAGGGGGGTCACACCCAGCGTTTACTTACCAGATTGTCATATCCACATCCATGTCGCCACGTTCTTAAAACACATTTTTTTTTCGGATAAACAGTTTGCATTTGAGGGGGGAGGGGAGAATAGGTGCTGCGTCAGATCATACGAAAAAAACACTAATTACACTTTTCTATATACATGCTTAAATATTTTTTAATACCTTGATGAACGTTAGGTTTTCGTCTTCATATGCCTTTTCCTCTTCAAACTCAGGATATTTAACAATTAAAGTCAATTCTCGCCTGGCGGACCTCTCGCTATAACGGACACTCCGATAAAACGGACAGCAGCTAATTCCCCGGCAAAAACAATTTACAGACGTTTGACTGAAATAAACTCCCGCTATTGCGGACTCTTGCTAATGAGGACACTAACTCGAGGTCCATACAATGTCCGCTATGAAGGAAGTTCACTGTTTCCCACGAGTGCGCGTTGGATATGAGATGGTAGTGAGCCAACGAGGTGCCTAGCGCCTACTTGGCTTTTAGGCGCCTTGTTGGCCATAATCAACTCGTATCCAACAAGCGCGAGTGGAATAATTGTTTTATTAAAAACGCCCACAAAATATCGAGAACTCTTCCCACTTTATTTTTGTAAAAACAACCGATTTTTAGCTTTTGTTAAATTTTGAGCAGGCACGTACAATTACCATATTTGGAGAGCATGGTATAATGGCTCAGAAACCATGATGCCTAAGCCAATCAGAGCTCTAGAATAGCATCATCCAATGATTCAGGTTTTAATAAATGGGGATATTTAGTTTAGCAGATATTTTTCAAATAACAACTATCATCCGTCGAGTTGTATTTTTGCGGTTCTTGCCATGTTTTTAGGCAC